AGAGCGGGGGCAGAGCAGCCGCTTCCGGGTGCCGCTCTAGCCTCGGAAAAAAAAAAAAGGGCCTCGGCTCTATGGCGCCCTTAGCAACGGCCTGCTGCTGCCGTGCCCTAGCAACGCCGGGCCTAGGCCGCAGTTTGGGCCGCTATGGCCTCGCATCCCATCCTCTCTCCCCAGGACTCAAAGCCAGAAAGTGGAGCAAGCACCAGCATAAAACGTCCCAACAGCCTTTACCTGCATTGCCTCCGGGCCAGGGCTCTGGCCTCCCCTGCTCAAGATGGGGAATGGTGGCACAAGCCCCCGTGACAGGCCTAAACACCCTTCCGTGGCTCACAGCACAGACAGATGGTGATGTATCCGTGTGATAAATTCTATTTGAAAGACCTGAGAATGTAACTGTGTGTAATTATTGTATATAACGCTTGGCTAAGCACCCAGAGTTCCAGGAAGAAGCTCATTGCTCAGTCTTTCACAGATAGTTAACAAAACCAGGCCTTAGAGAAAGGAGCAAGATGACACCATAAGTCAGCCAGATAAGGGAGTATCCAAATGAGCTTGAAGAGAACAAGGACAGGTGATAAACCGAAGAGAACTGCCTGGACTATGGGTGAGCTATCCTCATTAGCATAGTAAAGAGCCCACCTACAGGCAGGCCCCCCCCCCCCCCCCACAACCAAAGCCCCTTCCCCATAGAGCATGGGTAGTGGAAAAGAAGGATACTGTAACTTTAAACGAAGATGAGACCTAACAGGAACCAATGGGAATGAGGATGACTTAATGTAGCTGTAAATTGTACTGATAACTGTAGCTCAAACTGTATAAAGCGTTGGCTGCTGTAGTAATGAGGTGTGCTTGATTTGTGGAATTGTCCACTGAGCACCCTGCGCAGAATAAAGCAATGTCTCTTCCCTAAACTCAACTTTGTTTGTATGGAGAGTCTGCTTAAAAACAGTTGGGCAGGGGGAGAAACGGCTGCCCTTAGCTACCACAAGTTTGCAATCTTCACTGCGGGCCTAGCTTGCCTATAGTGCATTGTTCTCCCCCTTTACAGGCAAGGAAGCACCCCCTGCAACTTCTCATCTCACACATGCACTGGTACCATGGAGACCCTCAGGGCCAGCTCATAACTCACAACATTGCCAGTGGCCAAAAGCCATGAAATACCCATCTTGCTGCAACCCAGCAGATGATGCAAGGGAGAGGTGGCATTTTCAGCAGTGGGTTGTCCTGAGTGGCTGAGATTTGTTAGGAAAACTACTGCCAGCGCTAGCAATAGCCAACCACTCCTCGCCACTTGCCTCTGAAGAAAAGCCAAGAAGCCAATGAGTACATCTAGGCAAGCAGGTTATTTTCTGCTGCATGCATTAGCATCATAGCTTTCATCTTTCATTTTATACAACACTGCCAGTCATCCTGGCACAAGCACATTTTGGACAGCGTCAGCAGAGCTTCAGGGCTGTGAGAATTTCTTTCACTCCCCCTTTACTAGCCCCAGCTTTCTAGGTGGTCTCCCCATGTAGCTAGATCCTGTCCAATAACAACTTTGGCCATCTTGGTAGAAAATGAGAAGTGATGTTGGGCTCTCTCTTTTCCTCCATATTGTCAGATTACAATGTGGCGATCAGTCCCAGAAATATTAAGATTAGCATGAACGAAACATAAATGGAAATGTGTACCTGTGAGGTCATCAGAAGAAAAAGCAGGACAAGGATTAAAAGCAGTGCCTGTGCTGATAATAAAGATCATTGTTCCCATTAATCAAGTTCAGGAACATGTTGCTTCCATCCAGCCCAGAGAGCCTACACTCTGGTGAGGCCACAGCACAAACCACCCAGCAGAAGACCCTGCGCTCTGACAACAGGAAGACACCAACAAGACTGCAGCACGTCACATACGCCAAGCTTTCTCTTGCTAGCCCAGCAGGAAGGTGACTACCACAAAGGAACACCCAGTAACAACTGTTGACTCTTAAATGATATAAAAGCCCTGTCTAAAGACTATATTGTTATCACCAATCAAGAAGAACCCCAGAGACACGATGTGGATTTGGCAGCCAGTATCCCTTGTCCTCTGTACCATACATAAATTGTCCTGGTCAGACAACTTGAGCAAGCTGGCCTCATGTTTGTGAGCATGTGGGTGTGAGAGTGCGGGAATAGCATCTGTGAGAAAATGAGCGTGAGTGGGTAAAAGTCAACTTAAGCAGTTTGGTAAAAAACAAACAAACAAAAAAAAAAACCCTTACCCTTCTACCCTACTGAGTTTTGTTACACGAATTTCCTACCACAGGATCCACTTATCCCACACAATTGCTTCCCCTCACTTCCTTCTCTCTACAGACCTACAGGCCTTCATGAACCCCATGTGCAAATAGCTCTGCTCTGCATCTTTACTACGGAGGAGGAGGAACATTATCAGTGGGTGTGGAGGAGCAGGGAACAGCACTATTTGGTATTGTATGCATTTACAATCACAATATGATTGTCATTTTGGAATATCCATTGCTATCTCAGGTTCCTTCTATATCAAGTTCACAGTCCAGTAAGAAACAGAAAATATTGGTGCAGCCATGGACTACTGCTCTACAGTAGAGCATTATGCTCATACTGGCACTAAATTCACCTTCAGCTGTACATAACAATGTTTAATATACATCATCTGAGCATATAAATTGAGAATCCACCTTGCACTAGATTTCCAGGTAAAACCAAAAACTAGGAGGGTTGAGTATTTCATGATTAAAAAAACTAAACAGGCAAACAAAAAATTCTGGTAGGTATGAAAACATAAACAAGCAGAGGAGCAATTTAACAGAATACTGAAACATTCATTGTTATTTTTTAGTATTTATTTTCCTATCATAGGAAACTACCCATTCAGTTAGCTTAACCTGCTTAAGACAAACAAAAACCCACCCCACACACCTCCAGCAACCTTCATATGGGCACCAAGAGAGAAACATGGAGTGAAATAGATAAGGGAGGAGGAAGACGCACTTTCAAACTTTGTTGGGTCCTTACAGCACTGAACTTCAACAAGGCAGTGGACCATCTGTCAATTGTGAAAAATTACAAAACCTCCCCTATGGCTTGTTCTATAAATAGAGCCCCTTTTAAAAAAGGCCTATCAATGGAAAACAGAGCAGATTATTACACTTTATGCTCAGCAAATCTCATTACCTGAGCAACAGCTGTGAAAGCCTGACTCAGAACCATACCACTCAAGTCTACCTTAAATAAAAGAAATAGGCACACTACCCACAGCTAAACTCCCTCCCGCATAGAAGTGTTATCCCACCACAAACTGAGTTGATAAGCTTGAAAAAACAAGACTGCAAGGGGAGAAAACACAGTGTTCTCATTAAAAAAATACATCCTACAAAGTCAAACTTCTTCTGGTATTACATTCTGCTGAATTCTACATCACCCTGTAATTTTGATAGATGAGCATTAAACCATCCAGCCATGCCATCAATGACAGTGTTCTACAGCTGTGGTGACAACATCCATGATGTATAGGGACAAACACAACAAGGATATTTTCTTTACAAACAAGAAACAAACAGACACTATAGAAATCACAGTAATATCTTTATTATAAAAATGCTTAAGTCTCCAAAAGTTTCTGGAATAGTATGGGACCTCCCTTTGTTTCAGATACCTTTTCTCCTTTTCACAAGGCACACTAGAATTATTTTATTACATTCATGACTTATTTCTTAAGTTCCCTCAAAAATTTTTTAATGTTCCAGTTTAAAATGTGAGGAGTCATAGGAAAAAAAAAATTCAACACAAAGGACATTCAGCGTTCTAATTCAGCTCCTCCTTGAAAACAACCTCCAAAAAATCACGCCAGCAGCTCAGTGTTCATATGATTAAAGCACACAGGGCTGAATTGTAAAAGAGAAAAGAGAGAAGAGAAAAGAGAAAGCATTTTAGAAAGAGCAGAAGGATATAGCACAGTGTAATTTAAAACAGTCCTGTGCCTGAACTGACAAGCAATAGTAACAAAGATACAATGCAATTTGTTCTAAGATGTAAAACTTGACCGACAGGAATGTAATGACCATAGTAAAATTGTGTAACAGAAATTACAGAATTGAGTGTCAAAGGCAAATACTTAATTGATACTAAAAATTAGACTTACTGCTTGCACATGCAAAATGAGGTAATCAGAACTGTAATTAGCTGATCTGCATGTACAAAAGGCTATTTACTTGTATATATGCAAATATACTTTATACTTGAAAATTCTGCCATTGACATTTAGATGCTTTCTTTAGAAAACTTGAGCCTACTTACAAGTTATATTTACTCTCAATGCTATTTTTATACTTCACCAACACTCTGAATATGGCTTCATATCAAGAACTTCAGAAAATCACAAGTTATTTAAAATATTTATGCTCCATGATAGCAAAAACAATTTCTTAGCAGAAGCAGATGCATGGAATACCACTATCCAGATGAGGCATCTTCCTCATCACCTTCCTTAATGCCTGATTTTAGGGAAGGAGTACAGAATGCTGATCAATCAAATTCCATCCAGCAATGCACCTGAAGAGTCTTCACTAAAGGACACAGATCAGATCAGCTTTTGTTTGTGTAAGCCCATGAAATGACTTTGGTGTGTTCAGCACAGGTTCTGTAGCAGGCAGATACAGATCCACATGATAAGTCTATTGAGGCAGTGTCCTAAGACACTAAGATACATGAAGAATCCATTTGTATATCATGGCTATCCCGGGATTCCTCAGCCAGGGTAGAGTTCATTTGCTGCATATGTTCTGACAACTAACATCCTCAGTTATCTGATACTTATCCTTACATTAGGGTTAGTTAAAACCTTTAAAAAGGAAGGCATCTAAAGAACTATTTCCATAGGTGAAAGAGTGCTGGAAAACTACCTGCTCAAAAACTATAAAGGCAGGGGCTGGTGTTTTACCATTTACACTACTTATGTTGGGATTAAGTCTTTTTCTTGCTTCTGGTTAAGCATTAAATTTTACCATCAAGATTTTTTCCTCTTACCACTTTCAGGCACTTATTAATAGTCCCCCTGTTAGGGATGCAATATATAGTAATGAAAAAAATGAAAAGCAAAATCAATTTTTGGCATAAGACTGGAAGAGCAGAGGGTTGCTATGAAAATATTTCTTATCATTCTATTTTAAAATAAACAGTTCAGTACAGCTGTAAAGAGCAGTCACTCCAAGCTGCATATTTACTTTGGGTTTTTTTGGTTTTTTTTTTTTTTTTTGGAATGCTACCTCCAAGCTTAGCAGGGATAGCCTGCTTTAGAGTCCATACCTCAAGCAACACTGTGTATAGCAGCATCCCTAGCTACATCAAACTCTGTACACTTGGGTTAGAGAACGTAACTGCTGAATTGGATCTTCTAACCTGCACAGGACTAGGGAAGAGACAGATCTGTGGGCAGAAATTTCCCTATGCATCAAGTCATTCAAACCTCTTCAGGGTGGGGCCTCACACTGATCCTGCTTCATCTGTGCTCACAACTTCAAAAGAAGAAAAAAAAACAGCACAAAGAAGATACCTAGCAAGGCACTGCAGAGATTTAATCTTCTTGAATGCAAAGCAGATTAATTAGGTCCTGATTGGCTGATTTACATATTTGTATGCGCAACAAAAAAGAAATATAAAATCTGTTTGGTATCTGGAAGGTTTTAACCTTCATTCATATCTAAGGGTACAAAACAGACCTAGGTAAAAGGCACAGCTTTCAAAGTTACCAAACAGAACCGGAATGGATACAGGTATGTGTAAACACAACTGCTACAAGGATTTGACATCCATCCAATAATGCAAAGCCATTTCTCATAGCACACTTAATAGCTGACATTTTAGTAATGTCAGTTCTCGTAATGGATATACATCAGATTTGAGGGGGAGAAGTCCTCCCTCCTCTTCAAGAATTTCTTAGCATTTCCGCTTTGTTTTCATCGAGTATAAAGGGAGAACAGAAGTCTTTGTTCTTCATATACACCTCCAGACCCTGAGGACATGTAAAAACAATAGTTAGGTTATAAACACCTCAGACTGGTTACCTGTGTTATTTTTAAGTCTACATAATGGTCTCAAAGAATGACCGACTACCTAAAGTTAAAAGGTCATGAAAAGGACAGACAACAGCAACAGTTTCCCCAGTGACATGTTACAGCATGACGGGGATGGAAAGGGTTTTATCCACATAACTGGAGTTCATGAAGAAGAGATATAGATGAACCATAAAATAAGGGACCTCCGAAACAAATCTTGCCAAGGTGGGGCTGGAGGGGGGTGAGGGGGTGGAAGAGAGGAAGGCATGTTCTTAACTCATGTTGTAATTGCTCTTTTTAAGTCAAGCTAAGAACCAGAACCCTCCTAGCAGTCCTAAAGAGTCAATTTAAGTTGCCTTGCCTTCATTTTGTTCTTATAATGCATTGATTGTGATGAGTTAGCTAGCTGCAGGGAAAAAACCCAGCGAAGATAAGATGCAAAGCTTTATAAAAGCCCTTCCCCACCGTCCTCCACCTATCCTTCTGTAATCCACTGTTTCTCATCCTCTCTGTCCAACATCAGAAGGCTTCTCTTCACATTGTTAAATGGAGGTAGCTTTCTCAGGACCAATTAATTTTAGAGGGATACATTTCAGAAATCTGCTCTGAAATGTGCTTTCTCCAAAGACAATGCACATATCACACTTTGTTCAGCATTCACTCACTGTGGGAGAGATCACTAGCACAAATTAGTATGCAGCCTTATCCAGTAGCCCCATGGATTTTGTAATTTGAATATTTTGCACTTCTGTAATCCTTTTCATTCAGAGCATCTCAAAGTACTTGTGAGTCTTAATGAAACTGTGCAGCTTCATTACAAATTTCATTTTACAGATGGTTAAAACTGAGATGCACAGAGTGAGCAAACTGCTGAAGAGTAAACCATAGTGGAACTAAGAACGTAACACAGAGCTCACGTCCTGGCTCCCTTGATCTTACTATTTCTTGGCAAGCGCAGGCTAAAGAAATCCCCTCCGTCTGGCAGGAAATCAGATACATACATGCTCTCTCCTCTCTCTTAAAAATACCTTCGTAGATAATTATCCTCACCTCTCCAAAGTAAGACACTAATGGAGAAATCTCACACACAGCTGGAGGATGATCTTCAGTTCCTGAGACGCTAAAGAGGAGAAAACAGAATTTTCACTTTTTGCTACCCTTATAAAATGGCATTTTTTCCTTTGAAAGTTCAGCAAGAACAGGACATCCAGAAAGATAAGAGAGGTTAAATTCACAAGCATCAGATATTATTTGAACAAGAACTGTGGAAATAAAAGGGAACTAGCAGGTACCAACTATCACTCATCAAAACAAGTAAGTGATTTTTAAAGAGGTGCTTTTCAAATAACACAAACAACTTCTAGGTTTATTAAGCTATGAGCTGATGAACTAATAACCCATGGAGTAAACACAGCTTTTCATCCAGTGTGACATAGAAAGTATCTGAAGTGGTAATTGCTGTATAATAGCTGGTATTTATGCCCATCTGAGATTGCTGCTTGGCTTTAAGTACTGGGATCATATTCAGAAAAGCTGGTGATGGCTACAAATTACAATTCTTTGGGCTGCCTAAATCCTGAATGTTAAAAGCGTTTGCTTCTACCTAAGGCAGTGGTCTCATTGTGTCAGAGTTGCAATAGTCAGCTCACTACTCCAAAGGCAGGAATCTGTTGGTGTTAAAGCACTGCGTTACTTGCATATTATTGTCTACAGTATTTGTAATCAGTAATGGAGCAGGAGCAGTAATAGACATTGATCTCCAACTCTTCAGAAAAGGCCAGCTGAACAGAAGTTTCGCCATGTCACCGCGTGATCAGAGCATTTTTGGAGCACAGTGTACACAGCTGCAGAGGACAGGCAGCCCCAAAGAGGAAAGCTACAGAGCAGGTCACGGAGGTTCACACCTGAGTTTCTCTGGTATCCTGCAACCATTTTCATCCACAAATTTCGCCCCAGCCTTGAGAGCCCAGCGGTAATGCTGGGCCAAGAGGGATTGCCGAACAGTGGTAGGAGTGTCTTTGTCAGCTGTGTCTGCATTTTTTAGTGGCGAGAACTCCTCTTCTCTCAAAACTTCAAATGCCACGAAATTCCTACCAGCAAAGGGGAGAAAACAATAATAATGAAAAACAAAGCTAGCCATCAGTCCTGTTCTCCGAAAACCGGCAACAACAACTTCCATGGGGAAAGGCTCATACATATTGTAGAGAGCAGTGATGTATGCAGTGTCGGCAGAGTTAAGCTAGGGAAAGCCCACCTCCCACCTAGAGAGCAAAGGAGTACCAGGGCTTCACGACAGAAGCACGTAACTAGAAGCCCAGCCTCCTGGGGAACGCAACAGAAGCCTCCTGACTCTCAAACACTGCGCACAGATGAGAAGCAACAATTCTCCAGAACTCCCAAAAAAAAACCTTTCCAGAGACTAGGACACTTTTTGGACAAAAAGCCTCAGCTAAGAAGATAATAAGCAAGAAAGGATGGAGACAATAGTGATGTCTGAAGCTAGGATGCAGGCCGCACTGCAGGTAGTTAGTCTTTAGGACAGTTTTGCTCTGAAACAAGATACGCAGCTTACTTCAGAGCACTGCCTCCCTGCTACAAGAACTGGTCACTCCACATAGGTGTTTGTGGGCAAGGACGAACCAAGGACACCAGTTCCCAGGCATAAATTAGCAGCTTTGAAGAAGTCACAGTCAAATATTAAGTACAGCTGTTCACCAGAAATGGGAATGCAAATTAAAATCCCACAACAACATCTGCATGTTTCTGCATTTCAAGTATGAAGAGCATCTGCCAAGTTGTTTTTGCATTATTATTAACAAAGCACACACACACACACAAATCACTGCTTGCAAATGAGCCCCTTTAAAACTCTGAACTCAGCTGTTTTCATCACACTTTTACCAGCCTTTGTTATGCTATTTCATTAGTGAACGCATGTCAGGAAACTGAAACTGGGGTTTAAGTCTTGAGCTGCCTGATTCTAAATAAATCCCTCTAAAACCAGAGTATTATACCCAATACTATATGCAAGATTCCTAAACTATTTAAAATCCTACATCCTCTAAAAACAAAGCATCTCAAACTGTGTTACCACTACCGGACAACTGATCTCTTCTGTTTTAGAGAGTCTAGGAGTCAATCCTTAAGAGTTCCCACAGCAAGAGGAACTTGGCCCCATGGTGCTTAAGCAACCTGTTTTCTGAGCACAAAAGGGTGTGAACTGAGCCTTGGCTTAATATGCACTCAAAATGTAACAAGAGCTGCAGTTGCCATGGAAGGTACAATCCTGAAAGACCTGGTTTCTGCGGGTCTAAATACTCAAACATGGGCTTGTATTAAATCACACTGTATTGCTTTGCACTAAATTCCTGGTTTTTGGGTTTTTTTTTTTTTTTCCCTCTTCTCCTTTCCTACAGCTAGCAGAGGCTCAGCCAGGCAAGCCATCCTCCATGGAACAAATGGTTCTTGGAGCACAGTCAGAGCATGCCTGGCTGATGCCAAGGGCTCTGTGAATGCACCTTTCAGAGCCTGTGGAGTTACTGTCATGTTGGAGAAGGCTGATAGATACAACAGTCTTTTAACAAGCCACCTACAATCCATGTGCTCCCTGTCAAGGCCTGTTACAACCTACAGTCATTCAAACAAACATCAAGAAGGAGGAAGAAAAAAAAAAAGAAAAAGATTTATGTCTACCACTAACTTAGAGAACTGGAACACATCAAATACAAACTTCTCCAGCTTTATCCCGTTCGGTTTTAGCGGCTTTACCAGATTTCCCTCCTCGTCAATGTAGGGCACCTTCTTTATGGCTACATGATGCTTCAGCTGGGGCTCAAATTTCCTGCCAGAGCAAAAGGAGGAGAAACAAGTTCATTTACTTCATGCCCACTTTGAGAAAATAACAATATTTCTGGGAAATATTTGGCTTATTACTGCTATTGGTAGTATCTTGACTGTTGTGGAAATTACTCTTTCCAAATGCATATAAAACACGCTCAGAAAACATTTCTCTGACCAGAGCAGTCCAGCCACATGTGTGGTGGGAAGCAGTGGCCATTTCACACCTGCACCTGTGTGACATAATTGGGTAAAGCAGGAGGTGAAGAAGGACCTTGTGTCCAGCTGAAATCACAGGCAGAGGAGAAAAGGTGTTATCCGATCAGGATGACAATGTACCAGAGCAGACCCTCACACAAAGATGGATCAGGCTCTTCAAGAAGGTTGTCTGGCTCCAGACTAGACAGAAATTAAGTAAAGTCCCCCCATAACTATCCCCACATTTTTAAACTACATCACTTTCATATCCTCCCACAGAGGCAACCCACTCAACAGACCAGTGTTTCCAACATGCCCGGGATCAGCACGAGATCTAAAGCGAGGGAGCTGCTTATTGAATGCCTACTATCATATCCCCAACTCTAGGGTGCAGGATCTCCAGTTTCACCCATTCCCCCAACCTCTGTTGTCCCAAGGGATGGCGTGGATGAAATTCCCATTGAAAGCCCTGGATGTGGGGCTGCATCACTGACGACACTGCAACCCACATGGCTCCCTGTCCCTGTAGGCCCAGGAAGGCTACACAATGGTATATCCCAGTCGATTTAGCTACAGAGCATGCAACCCGTCTGTCAGGTAAAGCCTAAAGAGCACGCTGGAGCTGTCGGAAAGTGGACACAGCTGTTGTTGAACAATTTGGAGGAGAGAGGAGATGAAGAGCAGAGCAGGATGTACCCACAACTGAAACTACCAAGTGGGAAACTGAGATACCCATTCTTGAAGGTATTTTTAGGCTGCACAGCTGCCTGGTAGGTCTGCTGGAACTTACTGGGCCACCGTCTGCAGAAAATCAACCGTGAAGAAATGGTTGCAGATATTGCCAGTGCTGTACATCAGCCTCCCATCAGGGCTTTGCTGCTGCACCGTCTCCAGGCTGATCTCACTGTACTCCACCACCTGATAGACCCCATCCACACGGCACACTACCCCGACGGGCTCTGTGGGATAGGCCTTCTCCACCACCTGCAGCCACAGGGCAAAAAGCTATGACAAAGAGGAAGAAAAACCCAGCACTATGCCAACTCCCACAGACAAACTACCCCACAAGGCTCTGCTGCATGCTGATTCTCCAGTGCCTCAAAAGCACAAATAGAACAGTGCTGAATATACAGAGTAGCCTGGAAGCATGTTTTGCCCCCACAGCCTGGCATAAGAACCAGTATTCAACCACTTAATTAAACAGCTGCTCAGAAGGCAGACCACAGTTACAAGCAATCAGCATACTTCAGGGCAGTTTTACTGTCAAGGACTTTTAACTGGGACCCAGTATTAAACGAAAAATATTTACAGCTCTTAGCCTTCAGCTCCCTGTCTGCATGAACAGTGTTAATGATTAATGCAACAAAAATCTCTCCTTACAAACACCAAGAGCCTGCCACTTCAGAGCCTCAAATCAGATTGGTTTGGTTTTCCTCATCTTCCACAGTGGGACATAAAGAGTGCTTGGATTAAACTAAAACATGTATCTATAAAAAAATGCCTCAATCCAGTAAAGCTTCTAGCCTACAGGGACGTACTCTGCGTACAGCATTGGCAGCAAGCAGTTACTACTTGCAGTTCAGGCTGTCATGTCGAAATTTGCTCTTTGCCATCTTTGTCAGAGGTTTAATATTCCAGTACATCCAAGCTCACCCTACCCAATAGCTTCCAAGCACAACTGAACCTTAACTCCCAGCGGGGAAACGGCCCTTTAGCACTACCTCACCTTAGCACCGCAATCCGCCCCTTTGGAAACACAGAAGCCTATGAAGACTGGATCTGCCATTTTGACGAGGATATTGTCCACACAGTATACATGGACATACTGGATACCACGCTGTTTCATGTCATCCAAGATCTTATTATCCACCAAAGCACGATATAAGCCACCGTTGCCATCTATAATGCAAGAGAAAAGAGGAGGCCCTGTTTCATTAGGGACAGTGTGGTTTTTGTGACTAACATCAGCAGAGCAAAAGCTACAGAGCAGGGAATGTTTTCTAGCAGTAAATGCTCAGGATAAGAGTCAATGCTACTGAATTTTATTCTCAGTGTTGCCACAGACTCAGTTCACACCACCCAGTTCCCCTCCACACCGCAGTTTCCTCATCTGTAAAGTGGGACCGTGTATACCAACCTCAGAGAAATATTATGAGATTTTATTAATAATAATGTTGTAAGATCCTTAGAGGGGAAAATGCTGAAGAGTAAAGCATTATACAGAGGGTGGCAGAAGATTATTACGTTTATTGTCATCCAGTGCATAGCAAAAGCACGTTTAAAATTCAGCAGGGAGGGGGGAGGGGGGGGGACTAAAATATGTCTTATTATCTGTAGATTCCCCCTCATCACAACCTACTAGCTTTTTTAAAGGCTTGAACTTCAGCTGCAGAAGAGACAGCTGCACATCTGTTCAGCAAACACAGATCACCCTTTCATGGTTCCCTCTTTGACACTCCTGTTAGGTCAGGAAAACTATCATGCAGCCACAAAACCACATTACTGCAAGACAGCCTCAATGGGGCTGCCTTCACTGCTTCTGTTACCATGTCCACGTTGAGAAAAGGGGAGAACTCCTTTTCAACGTGAGATGTTTCAATCGTTTTGGAAAGAGTTTGCCTTCTTGCTCAACTTCTCCCATTTCCAGCTATCAGCCTTGAAAGGGAGCCTTCAAACAGGTGAACTATCTCCCCAGCCTGACAGCATTGCTCTGCTGTCAGAGGGGACCATTAGCCCGGAGCCAGAGCATGCAGTGAGGAGCGCATACTGCTCCCCTGACAGCTTCACCCTGGCAGGCAGTGCCCCAGGGACTGTCACCTGGGGACCTCATCTCTTATGTATACACAGACCTGCCAATGCATGTCATTCCTAACCAGCAGCTGCTCCAGCCCTTCTAATCCTGCTCGTATTCCCAGGCCTTGATAAAAAATGTGTGATGTGGACAAATCTCCAGCAAGAACTAAACAGAAATTGCTATACTCTTGATTACCAGCCTGAAAACGTTTAACTGAACCCTCCCACGCTAATCAGAAGCTTTAACGTTGACCTCCAAAACAATGTTCCTGTATGCCAAGGCTGCTGATAGCTGGCAGTAATTACCAAAATATTTTACATTACTGTGCCAATCAAAGGTAGACAGCAGGGTACCTGGAGCCATCGCAATTTTCCCCTTCTCCTCCAAGATGGCCTTCCCATCAAAGGTGACAGCTGGCAGCATCCTCTGTTCAAACATGATCACGTTGGACTTATCCAGGTTAAAGTAGTTGTGTTCTGCAAAGAACTCTTCTGTCGGCCCCAAGGTGAACTCACTTGTCATAATGTACCTGGGCGAGAACAGATGCTGAGCAATGAACAAGTCACCAGGAAAACACAAGCAAAAGGCAAAACTACAGATGGAATATAAAAGGGGGGAAAAACCTATAAGTCTTCAACGAGAGACACTTCAGTATTCTATGGTAGGTAACTGAGCAGAAGAGCTCTCCTCCAGAACTCACCCTGGCACAAGGCTGTATGGGGTCTTGTGCAAGAGCCCTTCCCTAACACAAAGGACATATAGACATCCAGGTCAGCTGGACAATGAGGCAACGGACAGTACAACAGCCTCATCCACCCTAGATGCAAACTGATATTAAGAGTTTAAAGAAGCACTGATCAGCACTAGGTGCTGAGAACTAGCTGTGAATCTCCAGGAACTCAGTCGGCCAGTGCCTCTTCTGTGTCAAGGTGAAGAGCAGCATTTTCAAATGTTGGCTCCATGATTTGCTTTTCTCCTAAACTTCTCCATTTTCCCCTCTCCTTCCATTTCCACACTCCTTCTGCCTCTCTCTCTCTCTGCTATTTTCCTTCCTCAGCAATGGCTAAGAGCCATATTCACCAGTTCCCCATCAAGCACTTCTCCAACTACTATTGCTATAGGTTTATAGGGTCTTCTGCCAGCACACTAGGGTATCTATGCCCTGAACAGGAGAACCTAGACCTCATGAACACACCGATTTATATCTTTGCAGCACAGCAAGAAGTAGCCTCCGGCATACTGTAGCAGCCAATTATCTCCTCAGTCCACGGGAGACAAGCTCTAAAGGGTATCAACAGAGTTTGCATTCTGCAAATAATCCATCCTAGCTTCCAGCAGCACCAGAGATGGGAGCATTTGCAATTCAGGTCACATATACATGGCTTAAGAGACATTCAACCTGGAGCCGAATCACCTTCAATCACCAATTTGTAAAACACGATGGGCTACCCTGAAGACCCCAGGCATATATGCTCTTTTGTTCTGCCCAAACCCTAGTTCAGACAGACAGGGTAGTGACTTTATAGAGAAATCTTTATATTTTAAGGATGAACAGCTAGCAGCAAGATATTCCCAGACCTATGCTGCAGTGCCTTCCTCTCTCTCACTAAACACATCCCTTAAGGCACTCACATTTTGCATCTTGCACAGTTAGTCTCTCCTGAAGCCCGGAGGCTTTTGAAAGCTATGAGCAGCCAGGAGAGCAAGCAGGCAGCTCTAAATAGAACACTTTAGAATTAGGTGTCATTTTATGGCATTTTCCTTTTGCAATAGCAGCAGGAGGTGGCCTAAAACTGGAGCATGACAGGCATTTACCATTGTGAGGTGAAAAGTTCTTCATTGTGGCAGAAATAGGACATAAGGGCAGGGGGAGGGTCTTGGAAGGTGAGCATTCAGTGATCTCTCCCTCCATGCAGAACTCTGAGAAAGTACGATACAAATAAGCCTCTTGCAAAGGATCTGAAAATAGGCACGGAAAGGTGTTTGTAGTGTCCTCAGGGTCCATGCTTGAAAAGATAGCATGGCACAGTGGTTTGGGCTTGTTTCCTCAGGTGTGCAGACATAAGCCTGTCACACTTCCTGTTCCTTTGTACCGCCTTCCAGCTGCTGGGATCACAAACCCTGCAGAACAAAGGATCTCCCCTAGTATGCTTCTATATGGCACCTAGCAAAGCACTTCTAAAAGACAACATAGGCAGGGCTGCAATGCAAAGATCCCTGTATGGTACGTCGGTGGCTCCAGGTCACTCACCAGGGTATGGTACACTTGTGGTGGTATCTCTGGCCAGCGAGCTGCTCCACTTTCTGGATTCTTTCTGCCTGGATCTGATACAAGGTCTTGCCACTGGGCAACCCCACATCGTACATGCCCTTTGGGTAGCTCACTCCCAGGCGAGTTCCTTGCCCGCCAGCCAGGAGCAGCACTGCCACTTTGTTCTGTGAGATCTGATGGAAACCTGAACGTGAGAAAGAAGCCAACAGGAACATAAGAGTCACAAGAAAAAGGGCAAACACCACCCTGTGCTCTTGAGGCTTTCTACAGAGCTCAGGCAACACCCAGAGGTTGCCAGTTCAAGGTTGTTGTTGGAAGTCCAGAAAGAAATGCGATGTTGCATGCAATATTAAAGAATTTCTTCTCTTTGATGCATCAGTTTCCCCATTTAAAGTGACAGATGGTATATTAACGGGAAATGGCCACGAGTTGCAGCTTTGGAGGTTCAAATTGCACATTAAAGTAAAAATTCTTTACCAGGAGGGTGGTGCACCTCTGGAATAGGATCCCAGAGACGTGGGGGACCTCCATCCTTTGAGGTTTTCAACACTCGGCTAGACAAAGCTATAGCTGACCTGATCCAGTGTGGAGTACAGTCCTGCTCCAAACAGGAGGCTGGACTAGAGGTTCCTTACCACTAACATTTCTACATCCCAAAAAAGTCTCATCACCTTCAGGGAAGCATGGGGATTTCTTGGAATCTGTCTTACTCAACTGTCTATACTGTTCCCATTTCTATTAGGACACAGTCAGGACTAAAAACGACAGCAAAGCTTGCAGAAGCTGCACCTCCCAGAGTCCAATTGAAGACAATATCATTTCTCCCAACAAACCAGAAAAGTCCAAAGCTTCGGGAACACCCAGACCACATTATAAACATCCAGTTCACTCTCTCTTTGACCATTCCCTGCCTTCTCTCCCACCAGAACCACAGTAACCACCATGTTCAACTCGGACAAAGATTTTTTCCTTAGGTGACACTGCATTCCTCCCAGGTGCAATGAGCTTTGGGGCTACCCAGGGAATAAACTACAGCTTTAATGTTGTACAGTAGCAATTAGAGCCTCCTGCAACCTAACACAAGACGTCTACAGCACATAGTTATGCCTGCCCCTGCTCCCTGTGGTCCAGGGTAGCCCATGCTCCACCCACCCAGCTTCCAAGGAGAAGGCAAACATCTAAATCTGCATCATTTTAACTCTGCCAGGGACTAAAAAAAATCTTAATTTGGACTGGAAGATAACAGAACCAAAGACACTGAATTAGAAGAAGCGATGGGTTGTTTTTATGCTGTTGGCTATATGGCTGTTTGAATGAGCAGTAACAAGGAAAATACTAATTGCTGTTATGACAACCTGACTTGGTTTTAATTCTGTTCAAAAGTCTAGCTTTCAGTGATTAAGGAAAAAAAAGGGGGGGGGGGGCAAGTTATCCATGACATTGTGGTAATACTGACATCCCCCATGCTGACAGGTTTCAGACCCACCACAGCAGTAACATCATCTTTCTGTCTAAATATACTGTTTCCAAAAAGGCTAGCAATGCCTGCTCAGGCACACTAAAAGCCAGTTACACAACACTGTCATTACTTTGCTGTAAGAAATCAAAGTTAAACTCTTCAGTTTGGGTTACATTCTGTTTTAGCAGCCACTCCACTGTCCTGGGGCAGGGAAAGGGGGAGAAAGTCACAGCTATAAGTAAAATAGTGAGCGCAACCATGAGTAGGGATGCAGTTACACAGCTCCTGCCTATTTGCTTTTCCCCTATTTTTATCCTAGGAAAAGGGGTGGCAAGTGCTACAGCCCTGCTGAGCTCAACCAGAACGCAGAGCTGGTTCACTGGGCTGCAAGGGAAAGCCTCTTGCTTTGCCAGTCCATCCCTGAATGGATTTAATCTTGGCCTCTCCACAGTAACGATAAGCCTCTCATACAGCAAGATAAACAGCAGCGTCCAAGTGAAGAAAAGCCCTTGACCATTAACACTGGCGAGAACATATTTGCTGTCACTTCAACGATTAAGGACTAGGCTGGATGAGTCACTCTCAATTATGCCCAACCACATTAAAAACCCATAGTAGAGGGATGTCAGCCCAGAGACCTAGCACGGCAAGAAGGGCTCTGAATGTCACCATGCCACATTTGCTCCATGACTGAACAAACGCCCCAGAACAAGACCATGAGACTGTCCATTCCAGCTTTTCAGACCAAGCAAGCCTAATGGGTGCATCCTACCAAGCAGAGAGGAGCCAAGAGGTGAAATATATGCATCACCATCCAGTTAGCTCCAGCTACTTGCTACTTTGGATGCAAATGAGTGCCTAGCTCATTTACAGCTGCACTGCTTGTGCCACACCACTGCCCCATGGTACCAGCTAAGAAACAGGCAGCTTCAGGGGCAGCAGTGTTCAAGGAAGCACACACCCTTCCTCTCTGCATCAAGGACATCTGCAGTCACCCAAGTAAGCAAACCTGGAGCTTTCCAAAAGTCTGAATAACTTTGGACTGAAATTCAAGACTAATTTGTCGAGTTAGTAAAATCAGTCTACCCAGCCACATCCCACATAGAGCTAGAACTAGATAAAGGTGTTCTTCACATAATCCTCACCAGACAGAGCAAAGCACTGAGTCACGGTGCAACTGTAGTGCACATGTTTATAGCCTGCGCCATAAACTGCTTCCATCCCAGTCCTATCTTGACTCATTGCTTCCTTGGGCTCCAAACCATAGTATCCGTTATTCCTTATCTCAGCCTTGTATTATTGCAGGGGTAGCATGGCTAACACCTCTCGATTTGGCCTAACTTATGTGAACAGGACAGCACTGAAGCAATGCAATGCCTGACTGGCAGGCTCCTTCAAGCTGAAGTTGACACAAGAGTTTCCAGGAGAAAAACTACAGGAGGGAAAAATTTACAGGAAAAAAAGGTAATAAAAAAGTTCCCCCATGAGACACTTCCAAACTGTTCGAACTGTTTCCAAAAAAAACAAAACAAAAAAAAAGTTAAGCTGAAGGATTTCACATTGATTTAAAACAAAACTTCCTGTAGGCTTAACTGAGCATTTGCTATTTTCATTTCAGCCCCAAAGCAGCATCTCCCCCAATACACTGATTCAGCCACCAACCAAGGACCAAGTCAGTCACTTGCCCAACTCTACCCCTGCTGTATTATTTGCTCCGGTATTGGCATCTCTTGAACTCAAGCATATGTGCACACATTCTGGTCCTGACATGAAAGGCCACACTGCTCAGCTTTCAAGTGCCACTTATCTCAAATAATAGGTTTGTGCACGGCAATGGACTATGACAAACAGGAATCACTCATGTGAAATCTTGATTTAACACTGTATCAAGAAAAGCGTATCTAACCTTGCCAGGCAACATCCAGCACAAGCTGCTGTGATCCCTGGCCAGGACTCAACGGTACCAGGGCTGGAGTCATCTCACTTATCTTAGACATCCTGATTCAAGATAGTAGTTCACATAAGCTTTACACGTAGTGAATGGAGAAAACTGGACACTGCCAAATGACAATTCAGCTTCTAGCAACTACCTCTCTAGATCTGCCTCTTCCTGCACTGACTACAGATGGAGCTCAGGAACCAAGACGTAAGAGGGATGCATCTGAGTACAAAGTAGTTGTACCACTGATAAACTCAGTGGTGTCAATGTTTTTTTTCCTCCCTGTTCCCAAAATCTAGTAGGCTGATCAGGCAGAGAACCTAGGACCCCTAGCAGATGGCTACACTGCAGGGCTTGCTGAAGCACTCAGTGCTCCTACTGACAACATGAGAAGTTTGGCCCTCATTTGCAGCAGTCAACTTCTTCCTAGGAGATTTGACCACGGTGCATTTCTTGGGCTATATGAACAATCTGCTCTGACTGCAAGTACATAAGGAGGGGGACTGTCTTTCCCATGATCTATTGATGGGAAACCCTACAACTACAGGAGAGTATGTCAGGTTTCCGGTTTTAGGTTACCATGAATACCCCAAAAATTTTAATAGGTAGGTCTGCTCTGACTTCCCAGCTGTAAAAATATTAACATTCATGACTAAAGTTCATAACAACTGCCTCACTTTGCT